ATTTTAAGAGAAAAATTCTACACTACAGAATTTGGAATATATTCTATGAATATTGGAGAAAGAAAGGTTGGTGGGGGCAAGTCATTTTTTGCTTACTAGTTTACTTGTATTTCTTTTCATTGTATGTGTCATAAGATTTTGTTTTAAGAAGTAAAAGGCTAAAATAATTATCACTATTGCCTATGACAATACAAACTGGCCAGAAGGTGACTAAGTCTAAAGTATAATGAGATCTCAGGGCTACACACTGGAGATACATGCAGGGACACCTACCCATGCGTGACATGGCATTACAAATACTCCAATATTGTGTGACTGATCAGAACAGCCTCTCTAAATGCTACCAAATAGTTCAGGTGGATGCAGCAACCAGAAAACTACCAACCCAGTACCTTCATAATGAAAAGTCACAGCCATTGATCTGTCAGCTCATCAAAAAGTTAAAACAGTTAAATCATTATAGCCAGGGAAGAAAGAACCAGTAAACCATATCCTAATCAGGAAACAAGGGATAAATCTCTACTCCTGTTTAATAAAAAATCCAATTAATTTTATCTGTCAGTAGTTGATTATATCATGTTATATATAATATAGAGGGAATCATTACATTTGTAATATATATATTAATGGGTTTAGTTGGTGGTTGATAGGCAGCAGAAATTTAAAAAATATATCAGTGAATTAGTAATTACCAATATTTTTACTGATTCTAATACCTACAATGATTCATTATTTTCAGGCCCTACAGTTGGTTTGGGAAACTTAATGAACAAAGTACATTTATTAATAAAACATTTAGTAGAAAAATGAATATAAAAGCTTATGAAATAAAGTTAGATATTGTTTTTATTTAAAAAATTGGGTAAGAGTTTAAACAATAAAGAGGGCAATTTCTTTAAGTAAATGACTTAAGTACCTAGCTACTCATATTTATGTCCTAAAATTCTTAAATTATAATGTAAGAAAATTATCATCTCTCCTGTTTCACCTTTCAGCCAATTTCTTTTTAGTAAGTAAATGTTACCTCCAGTACTAAATAACTGTTCACTTTGGATTAAGTGCTGATTAAAACTCCTTATATGGAATTTTATTTTTAATTTCTACTTAAAAATAATTGAAAATTTGAAATAAAATTCTATATAAGATTCTAAATTTATTTTTTTTTTTTTTTTTTTTTAGCTTTTTAAATGCAGACAACATATTTTTTTTCATTTTTATAAATTTAAAAAAAAAAATAATGAAAATAGTCTTAAAAGAGAGCCCAGAAGAACGTGAAATCATTTTTGGTTATATTACATAATTTTGATTCTAATTATTGAATTAATAAATTAGATTATTAAATGGGTGAATTCACAATGTTTAAAAATAAAAATTTTATTTTGAACTGAAACAGATTTTAAACTAGCAAACTTTATGAAAAATTTGAGAAATAAATAGAAACTTGCACACTTTTTTTTTTTTTTTTTTTTTACAAAGTAAAATAAATTTATTTACATTATTTGGACTATTGTCCTCATCTTTGTCACCATCTTTATTAATGTTTCACACTCTTTGGGTCCTGTCACTGGGTCTAACCAATGACTTTATCCACTGTGCCATGTGTCCTTGAGAATAAAGGTGTTGGTTAGATCCAGTGACAGGACCCAAAGAGTGTGAGTTCAATACCCGGTTAAAGCAGTGGAGAACTTTCAAAGAGAAATTAACAGTTGATAACTGATAACTGACATCCATTAAACGTGGCATGTGGAACTAGAACAGTCTACACCAGTGAGCGAAATAAAGGGTTAAGTTCAACATTCCAACCACCTGAAGAAGGTCGATGTATACAATGGCTGAAACGTAATAAATATGCCGACAAAGATGAGGACAGTAGTCCGAATAATGTAAATAATGTACATAATACCTCATCTCAGAAATATAGACAGATGCTAAAATAAATTTACGTCATACTTAGGTATTATAATGATCTATAGATTTTAGTTTTACTGATAGTTTAAAATCAATAAATATTTATATCTTTTTATCATTACTACCGGGAATGGAAAATTAAGTTTTAAACAAAAAAAAAAAAAAAAAAATCCAAAGAATTGTTCTTGGAAACAAAAATAAGGTTAAAAATTCTCAGATTCCAATGTTGAATCTGATACCCCAAAAACTTCTGATATTTCTAATTCTCGATTCTGTTTAATCATCCCATCATTAAATTGACTAGAAAAATATCTCATAACTTTTAACTTAAATATACTCTATATACACTACAGTTCAAAAGTTTGAAGCCACTCTCAGAATTAGCATGGGATGAACTTGACAGAAAAGTGAAAAAAAAAAAAAATAAGGAAGAACTCTTAGTCATTGGAAAAAGAATGGAGTCAATTATAAAACTTATACTTTGAGAAACTTTTGAATGAAAGCCAAAAATTTAAGTGCTAAAGGTGGATATTTTGGTGAGAGCAAAATTTAATCATGAAATGCTATTTTTTCTTAATAAAATTTCTTGTAAAAATCATGTCTCACTTTTTTTTAATCATGTATAATAATTTTCTCTTTTTTAAAGTACAAAACCACTACTTTTGGGGCCAATTTAAAAAATTACCAGAGGTGGCGTCAAACTCTTGAACTATAGTGTATGTTTCCTTATTACAATTGATATAGTAACTGTTTTAAATTTGATTTTTTTAAGGAAAAATATCACCTACTTAATGAAAAGTGAAGTCATGAGCATAGACAATGACTTAAGGATATTGAAAAGCATCTTATGGTCAGTGAATTTTGCAAAATAAAGTGAATTGGCTCAAATTTCTAGAAGTAAATAACCTATATTTTTAGACTTTTATAATTTGAATCCATTTCAAAAGCACATTTGCCTTTTTAATTAAAAAAACAAAAAAAAAAAAAACACTAATGCTGCATATTTCTGCTTGTTGGTCATTACTCAATGCTTTTACCTACAGAACTTCAACTGAAACATGAAATCTTTTAACATTTCAAATACTCTTTTTTACAGTTTTGAAGATGAAATAGTCACTTATCTAACATGAGTATCATAGTATAAGAAGATATCATTTGTTCCCAAAAGATTTTCTTGTTATTGCTTCAAAGTGGCATTGCCCAGAGGTGGTGACTTGACTTTCTGCTGAACTTAAAAATGACAACTGTACTTTTTTTCTTAAAATATAAATGACAGTGATAAAAATGGTAATGGCAATATTAGCTGTTTCCTTATAAGGAAACATTTGGCATTCATTGACCAAGCAGCCAATGCTACTGTAAGTTAAAATTTATAAATCTTTATATTAAAACGATTTTTCATGAAAATAGTTTCTGAAGTCCACTATTATCAATTTTTCCATTATTGATGGGGTGCTTTTTTTTTTTTTTTTTTTTTTTTTTTTTTTTTTTTTGTTCGAAGTGGTATGGGATGACATCTCCATTATATTATTCTTGGCAAGTTACATGTGCTATCCATTTTAGTTATTGCCACTGCTGAAAGTTCTCAAGTGATGTGGTTTCTGTTATTTGGTATAGTTCTTTGAGATTTTGTAGTACCAGTTCATGAGATTCAAAGAAGAAAATCCTACAGGCTTTAAAACCTACAGGCTTCATTTGCTCAAAGCCATTTTTAATTATTGCTCTGAGAAAGTGGCTGTATACAGTTGACAATTTATATATTTCTGAATGAGTTTGGCACCATACATGACTTTCATATGAAAGTCTCAGGCTGACATGACTCTAGTTCATGGGTTAATGTTTTAGTTTTGTAGCAAATTGAAGTGTTGGTCATGACTACCCCTATCACAGTTTAATCAATTTCTTTATCTTCTATACTAGATATGTTATAACTGATCCATACACCAAAGTATTTGAAATGTTTAGTATTTATTAATTCCACAACCTTAATGTTTATGATGGATTCAGTGGAGGTGCCATTACTGTTTTCATTCTGGTTCCAGATCATTGTTTCTATTTTGGAAAGATTTATTTTGCGTCCTATTTCTCTACTTGATAGAGGATATTGCTTTGTTTGTTCACGATTATTCCGATCCTAACTATGAACACCAGTGTTATTAACAAATCTCCCCTATCATCAATACAACAGCCTAAATAAACATTTATGAATTTACTACATATGTATAAACCTAAAGTTATTCTCAGTAAAATTATTTTACTAGCTGTTGTACATATCAACTATTTTATGCTCATATTTCTTGGAATATGTATAAAATCTAAAAAGAAATACCTGGTAAGACTAAGTGGATAATATATTCTCAAGAAAATTACTGCTTAGGTATAGCATACTATTTTTAGTAAAAAACCATGTCTTTGAATACCAGTATCTTTATTTATTTTTAAGAATAGCTCCAATCTGACAGTAAGCAATTACAAAATGTTATGTAAATATTAACATCTGTGGTAAAATACACTTTGTGATACAAAGTAACATAAATATACACAAATATACAGTCACTTTACCCGAAAGATATTCAAAATAATGATATTTTTATAAGTGCTCATTCTCCATGTCTTATATGGAATTAACTGTTATAAAACTGACCTTTCATGAGGGTTTTTTTTAAATTTTTTCTTTTTTTTTTTTTTTATCTTAGTCTAAAGTTTATTTTTTCTGATCAACATATAGATAACACTACTGGCACTTGAAATGGAACATCTTTTTAAATAATAAACTATGTTAAAATAGTTATATCTGTCTTTATCAATTGTAAATTTTTGTTATATTTTATTGATGAAATTAAGGCCTGCAAAAATACAATTAAAATCACCTTATGCATTTGGCAACAGTTAAATCTAAACAGTATATACTGTAAATTGCAATGTTAAGTTGATTTTCACAGCAGCAGAAAAAGCAGACACAAGTAAATCGATTTCGGAACCAATTCTGCTCATTGTCCAGTCGGCTGCCCAGTTTGTAGATTGCCGAAAATATTTGAAGTGGCAGCTAAGGCTTGTTCTTTGATTTTCTTTTTATTTATTTTTATTTATAGAGATTGGATGGCAGGCAACCATATGATTATCGGCGCTGGAAGATCACATTTGGTGTGGAGAGAGGCTGTTGCCAAGTGGAACTTGGCAAAACAAGGTGATATTTTTTTTTATATTATTTTATTTATTTATTTTTAATTCATTGATGATTTGCATATATGTCATATTTAGCATTTGAATAATGTCATTTTGTGGAAATGTCTTTAATCACCTGAAACGATTTTTATGTCTTATGTTACTTTGTTGGTAATCATGGCTCTCAACAGCTTCCTTTTTTTATTTTTAGCAATACTTGTTTCTTCATAACACCTATTTGGCTTTGTGACAATTCTTCCTTCAATACATTTGCTTTAACTCATTTAACTTACTGTTTTTCTCTACTTTTCTTGCCCTTGATGTATTCTGTGAGTGTTAAATTCTCGAGGCATTCATTCTACATTATGTATTCCCAAAATTTCAGCTATCTCTTTCTAACAGTTTCTTGTATTTCCTATTCTTAGAAGAACTTGCTCATTTGTCACATGCTCTGTTCACGGTATTTTCACTATTGATCAGTAGAACTACATTTTGGTTGTATCAAGCCTTTTCTTCATTTGTGGTGAAATTGTTCACCATTCATGTCCCATAGGAGATAAGAAATGATGTAACAGTCCAACACTCTTCTTAATTTCTAATATTATTTTATTTTCATCCTCTTAGTACTTAACCACTTTCTGAAAAGTATCTTTTGCTATTCCAATATACCTTTGTATTTCTGTTTTATTGTCTATCATCTGTTACAACCCAAATGGGTGCATTTCTGCACTTGCTTGATTTTAACATCCTCTGATGCATAAATAATAACTTCAGATGTTCCTTTTTACTGACAAAAATGCATTTAATCTTCTTATATTTAATATTTAGTCCTTTTTTTTTTTTTTTTTTTTTTTTTGCTTACAGTTTTAATTTTGAACCTGCAGTGTTATCTATGTAGTATATGTTCTTAAGATTACATTTATCTATAATAAATCCTGGTATGCATGCTAATTCTCTTAGAATCATATCACAAGTAAAATAATCTTAGAAAACAAATCCTTGTTGCACTCCACTTTCTATTTTGGGGCATTCACTTAATACATTCTCTGGATAAAACCTGTTTGTTCCCAATACAGATTGTAGTTTATTTGCACACCCTTTCCATGTAGATCAAGCTTTTTCAGTATTGCAAAAAGATTATGCTGTATTTTATCAAATGATTTTGTGTAGTCTATGAAACACAGTTATCCGTGTTCCTTAAATTCCATTGCTTGCTCTGAGAGCATTTTCATCATAAAAATTACATCTGGGATATTTTTAAATTCATTTTGCTATTTTCTTATTTTTTAGCATGTTTTTATGAGTATTACTGATTTTTACAAGATTATAAAAATCTAGGTTGTGTGGCATATAAAATACTTGTTCTATATTTTTACCAAAATGCTTAGACTTAACCCTTCATTTTGTGCTTGTGTGTAAGTCTAGACATTAACGTTTGTTTTGCAAGTACATTCCTTTCTTGGTGCCTTTCTTATCATTGCAATCAGAATCTGTTTGTAATAGACTAAATGGCCTTTGTGATTTTTCTTTTTTTTTTTCATCAGCCCTTCCACTTGATTCAACTGAAGTGTTTCTGAATTATGATTCCACCTCTTGCAGTTTCCATTTCTCACACACTCTAAATACCAACTATGAAAGTAGTTGCTGTACTTCTTTTATTGTATCTCCCTCATTAATTACTTTCCACCCACATGTCTCCTGATATTTTCTTTGCTTTTCTTGGTGAACCCTTAGGAATGTATAATTAGTCCTCTCCCAGCCAACAAGATTTACATAATAGCATACCAATCTATTCATTCCTCATTTCTCTCCTAACTTGAGAATCTAGTTTGATAAGTTTTATTTTCTCATTCTGAACACTATCCTTACACCAATTATACATGGTACTCTCCTCAAAATGACATGTTTACTCCTAGGCTTGTTTTAACTACATTGACCAACTTAAGCCAAATTTTGAACCTGTTTAAGTTTTATAAATATTGGATTAAGTTCTAGCAATATTTACATTGGAAAATCTGGTTTTTGGCAAGCTCTTATGACTTTGAGACAAGGTTTTTAGAAGTGTCTTTAAGAAATATTGTACATCCTCTATTTGGAATTATTATAAATTCTATTATGAAACTGCCACTCGAGTTAAAAATTTGTTTTAAACAATTTAATCTGTTATCTGCATTATTTTGGGGATGGGCACTCTTTATTACAAGTGAAATAAATATAACAGGCTACTAACCTAAGACTGAAGTAACCAATACTAAGAAAAGCATTCAACTCTTTTGATAAATTTATTGTCTTAATAATTATAATATCTTATTTATACCAAACTGAGCAAGAGTTAGTTAGTGCTAATACTATTTGTTGGAGTAAACTTTATTACAAAGCCAGACTCCAGATACTAGCCATGGTTTGAAAGACTAGTGTATCACTATATGGTAGATGCTTACACAAGGCACTCTTGGTAGTCACCTGGATATTAATGTCTGGGAGGTAACATAAAACCTAGTATGAAGAATCTGAATAAGGAGAATACAGATTTTGTTTTTGAACCCACATTTGAAGTTTAATTGATGACTTTGACTATACTTTAATCAGGCAAGCTACTCTTATTTTAAAGACTATTGATTCAAGAAATCAAATTTCTTAAACAAGTACTGGTCAGCTAGTTGTACTGAGTTTCTATATTTCTTGTCTTAAATCCATTAATTAGAACAGGGTCATTATATTATTTCAGCAATCTTTCATTAATTAATTTCGAACTTAAAAAATTTAATCAGTCATAATTGCCTGATTGTGTTACCATATTGGCATAAAAATGAGTTTACAAATAACTCTTGCTTTCTGTTTTATTGATCACCTGCCTTACATTCATCATTATTGACTTTTTAAAATATTTTCTTCATGTTTTTTTTTTTTTTTTTTACTCTATACTATCAGAGTATTAGCTCAGGTATTAGCCACAGTAACTCAGCCCAAAGCCAATCGGCCGACAGACGGTGTCTTATTTGTCAATGTGGAGTTGTCTCCCATGGCTTCTCCAAGTTTTGAACCAGGAAGGTGAGGATTTTTTAATTATTCAATTCTTTTTATATTGCATTTTAAAATTTATACAAAATATAAATTGCTCTATCTTTTGTAAGAATGTAACAATAATATTTACATTGTATATCTTGTTGCATATTTGTAAAAGTTAAAAGATAATTCTATTGTTAAACATTCTTGTGCCAATGTAAAGATATTTCTTTTAATGCAAAAGAAATGACATAAATATTCATACATAAGAAAATCATTAATTACAATGCTTGAAGTTTTGTAAGATTTTCATGATAGGTCAAATTTCAAGTATTCTGTTTACTGTATGTACTTCTATCATAGAACAAGTTTCTAACTAATAAGGAATATAATTATCATGTCAATTAAAAATAGGTCACTAATATTATAAACGATAAAATTGTTGTTCATTTTTAAAATGCTAAGATCATAAACCTGAAATTGACCAAATATATTAAAGACTGTAACTGATATTTTTTTTTTTTTTTTTTTAATAAATCAATTAGCTTATGTACACTTGTAAAATGAATCTGTATGAATCAGCAAGCAATTTTTTCCCCCCTTAAAGGTTTTCTGAAGTTGCTGTATATGTAAATCGTTTGATGGAACGTTGCCTGAAGGAATCTCGTTGCTTAGATACTGAATCTCTCTGTATTGTTGCAGGGGAAAAAGTAAGTGTAATATTTTCTTAACTGTCTGCAAGAGCATTTTTTTTTTTTTTTTTCATGTGACTTCCATATTTATTTATTTTTTTTTGTACTTTTTTTGAGGTGTACTTTTCATCATTAAACAACTAGAATTTACCTTTCTATACAGACTGTATTGCATATGCAGATGGTGATAAAAAGCTCTTGGTTCAAAATATCTGGCTAACTGACCAATCATTATGTATTTTTTTCATTTTTTTTTTTTTTTTTTTTTTTTTAAATCACTTCTTGGTAAGTTCTAGAACATGTCACTGCTCACCTTATATATACACTTACACAATCCAAAATAGAAGAGACTTTGCTTTGCATGTGAAAATTGTAGTCACAGTAAAGATATGTGTCTTTTCTGTTTTGAATTGTTTTCTCATTGTTTTCTGGTCTAGGGTATTGAGCACACTCACTTTTTAATTTGTTCCTATAAGTTGCCTAGTTACTTTTTTTCTTTCTTTTGTTTTTTCTATTTTTCTTTTTGTTTATTCACAACTGAATTAAATGTTTTTACAAAGCAACTGGTTATGTTAGAAAAATATTTGTTGTCTAAAATATAAGCTTTTTTCCACCCCTAATAACCTGTTGCAGATAGTTTTATTTTTTTTCCTTTAGAATCTGATATAAATTCACAATAGGTTTGAAATTAGGAGATTGTTCATACCAAAAAGAAAAAACTACAGTCCTATTGTCTTTTAAAGAATTTCATTGAAATCAAAAACTTGTGAGCGGGAGCATTTTTATTGGCAAAAATGATTTTACAGTGTTCAGACAATGATCTTTCTAATATTTAGAATTTATATTCTCTTCATATAAAATATTGTAATTTCAAATGTAAAATTGTTCCAAACCATAATTGAATCTCCTTCAAATTTTCTGTTACTCTTCACATTTTTGGCTTTTAATTTTTCTCTACTTCTGAAAAGTTGAAAACCCTGATTCTTTACAAATGATTACATTTTTACAGTTATTGTTGAATAATAAAATCTCACATTTTTTTTCTTGTTTTTAATTTTTTAGGTAGTTAATTGTAGGTTTTATTTTATTTTATTCTTTTCTTAGCTTTAAATTAGAGGAAGAAATTCCAAGGTTTCCTTTTGGTAGTTTTGGGTTCTGTAGCCAAACAAGTGATTTTCCTTGTTCTCTGGAACTGCAATTTCTGCCATCTTTCTTTCTTTATTTCTTTGACATTAGATGTTATTCTGATGGTGGTTCCTGAAACCTTAAATTTTAAATTTGTTTGCTTATAGCTAGTGCTGAAGCAGTTATTTATGTTTTCTTTGAAGGACAACAGGCTTTATTTTTATTTATTTATTTTTTGAGAAAAAAATAAGATAGGAAAAGTGAAATGTTATCCTCTTGTCAGTTTTTGGGACAGAATTTATGTAAACATTGAATTAAGCATTTTTGCAAAAGTAACACATTAGACACATTTAATTAAATATGTAACTGCATCTGATTTTTTTTTTTTTTTTTTTTTTTTTTTTTGGGATTTGGAGTTTTTTTCAAACTTTGAATAGTTTTTTTTTTAAGTTGATTTAGTTTGTGTCCAATTTTTATGTGACTTATGAAAAATTTTTATTCACTATGAATGTGTGTATGTGTTCAAATTTTTCTTAAAAAGAAAAATCATTCTTCTCCAAAAAATCATTCATGATATTCACTTGCAAAACTAAAAAAAATTCTTAGAATAAAAAGTTTCAGCTTTGAATAACACACAATGGGTTGATAAGCTATAAAATACAAATCAATCATGGTATAAGAAATTGGCAAGCCAAGTTTGAATTTCAGTTGGGTTCATTTCATTCACTTTTGTGAAAATATTTTTGAGAAAGATATGAATCCATCTCATCTACCCTTAGCTATGGATTAAATAGTATGGCTGACTGGGCTCTTCAGCTTTGGTTGGCAACAAGACTAGGAGAAGAAAAAAATCTTAGAATTCCCGAATCTGGGTAGATAGAACTCATCAGCATGGGAACATATGGTTATCTAAGTGAAGGAAACTCTTTACAGAAAACCAACCCAACCCTTTCTCAGAGTACAGAAGTTGGGCATGGGGCCAGTCACCCCATCCTGTGGAAAAAATTAATTACAGAAACCTCACCAACAGGCCTTTCTATGTTACAAGGCACCAGGTATATAGTAACAAATGTTAATGAGACTTACTGATGCAGCACTGTACAGGAAATTTGATATATTTGTTATTGGTTCTCTTATAATCCCTTCCATAGGCCATTGCCCCTAGCATGTACTTACAATAAATTATTTTTCTAAAAATTACTTCTTTAAATTTTGATACTTTAAATATACTCTTCAGATTATTTCCTTAAAGAAAAAAAAAAAATTAATAAATATTCATTGATACATATTTACTAAAACCATTCAGCATAAAATGTTACAACCTTGTAGAAATGTATATTCAGATTGTTGTTATCCAGCAGTTAGTTAGCCAATTTCCTCTAGCATTTCATATAAAATGACTTTTTAATTGAAATTAGAAGATTAGTTTTAATGAATTCTTAGCAATGATGATTAACAGACAATTTGTTATCCTTCACCCTCTAAATTTAATGATGAATAATAAGGCAATGTATGCTTTATGGAGGAAGAGATTTCTGATAATCTTTAACTTACCACTTATTGCCTCTTTCTGAATAAATAAATAAATAAATGGATGGCCAGATTGAAGACTGAATCATTTTGTATTTGGACTTGTTGAATGCTGTGAACTAGGTTATCACAGGATTACATTTAGCCTCTGGTATTTAACTTTCTAAGCCTCTTTCCCATCAGGGTTTTATGCTGCTCCATCTATTTTTAATGTTTATTTGCTTTTAGTCAGTATATATAACATTTTTGTTTTTTACTAGAATATTTTTCCATCAAGTGAGCAGTTGGGTAGGCATAAATTTTAATATAGAAGTCAGAACCTTAAAAATGATACATGTTCATTACTATTGTAATGTTGTGTTCAAAGTCATTTTACTTTTAAACATTCAGTGGTTGGTTTTGTGTTGAAAGTTATGGGACAATTTTTATTTGTCAGAAGTATATATTACAAATATATTGTGCAATCTTTTCTCCTCTAAATATTCAAAAAGGTTTTTTTGTAGAATTTGGACAAATGGCTACCTTTGTTATTTTTAGAGTAACAAAAATTTACACAAATTGGTCACAATATAAATATATCTTGTAAAGTTTTCCGTTTTATATTTTTATTTTTAATTTTAGTACTGTGAAAAGTTCATTTCTTCTTTTTTTTTTCTGTGACAAATATATCACACTTTAAAAGGTAATCTATTAATAACGAATTTTAGGATTTTGACTTGTGATGCTTAAATTTTAATGCGACTGTTTGCCTCTCATAATTCATATTTTTGTTGTTCTACCATTTTTCTGTTTATCTCTTATAAAAGCAATTCAATGCTTAGACTAAACATTTTAAGAAAACATGGAGACGTATTCTTTTCTTTTTTGGCATTACCTCAAATCACTTAAACAGAGCATCTTCAACTGTGAACAAGTAACACATTTGTGTTTATCTCCATTTGATATATGAATATTAACTTAGTTTGAACAAAATAAATAATGGTTTGAGATATTTTAGAAGTATTCCAAAAGTTGTTTTTACAGTGTGATAAATATGCTAATATTTTATATTTTACTTATTGACATTAAAATGTAGTAAATTCTATATATAATGATTTATTAATGACACATTCTGTGTATAAGCCAAAACATTATGTTCACCAGCTTTATTGGTATTAGACTTCCATGTGCTATCATGTTAACAGGTCTTTTAACTGTTCTAGGTTAATTACATGGAGGAGGGTTTACAGAGCCAACTTGTTACAAATACTTAATAGGATTGAAATCTCTGGCTTTGGTGATCAGGACAACACAGTGAAGTCTTCTTCTTGAAACCATTCCTGAAACCATTTGTGCTGTATAGCAAGCTACATTGTCCTGTTGGAAAATGCCACTGCCCTCATAGAATACTGCTACCATGAATGATAGTGTGATGTCATGTGACAAAATACCTCCTGCATTAATGATGCAGTGTATCCTAGCAAAATGTTGACACTATCACACAACTTCACTGACTTGTTGTTTTCTCACAGTGTACCCTTCTGCCATTATTTCTGTAAGATAATGGATTCTCACATATCCTGTCCTCCATCTTGTTCATGAGAAAGTGAGGTTCATCAAACTTCTTACATCAATATAAAGTTCAGTTCTGATGCTTGCTGCTCATTGAAGACACTTTCAGTATAGGTACTGTGACTAGCCTGCATCTCAAAACACTGTAATGGTGGACTGCGTTATGATGCATTTATGTCTTCACCTTAATCGACCCAGTCATAAGCCCAAAAAGACATTTCAAGGATGTAGTTAAATGTAACCTAAAGAGTCTTGGTGTTGAAGACTGGGAAAATGTTGCTGGAGATAGATTTGGTTGGAGAAAGTTGATTTGGGAATGCTACAACAATTTTGATTGAACAAGAACTGAACATTCCAACAAAAAGCATGAAATAGAATCAGTCCCAGAGCTATTAGGACACCAACACACTTGCAGTATTTGTAGAAAAGTCACCCTCTCAGCAGCTGGCTTAGCCAGTCACAGGAGATCACACCAGATAGGTCAGGTGCAAACTCTTGTAAATGCAACCCTACCAGAAAGATCTGTGAGTTTTGTGACAAGGTTTGTAAGTTTGTTACAGGACTCAAATGTCACATGATTGTATGTGTATAAGAGAAGTTGTAAAAGTGAAACTGGCCTTTCCAGTTTTGGTTTTCCAGTGCTTTGTTGGTAGTTGGTGATTTTTGTTTGTTTTTTTTGGACCACTGCTGGTAGGTACTTGTCACAATTGAATGTGAGTACTCCACATGCTAGGCTATTTAGGAAATGTTCTGATATAGTCTTTTGGCTATAACAATTTCAGCATCTATCAAAGCATTAATCCCCCCCCCATAATAAATACTACATTCAACAAATGATGTACTCAAGGCTGGCTTTCCTGCTTATATACATTTGACCATGATATGCACATATTTTGTAAGAGAGTAGATATCATTTTTGCCAAAAATTCTAAATTGCCTGGAATTTTATGTTGAGATTTTTGTAACCTTTTACTTGAAATAGTTTTTTGTTTTTAATTTGGTATTTGATAGTGATCAAAATTTGATTTGGTATTTGCTATCTATTGAATTAAAATAGTTAAGAGACAATTGAGACAAGCATACTTTCTCTACATCAAGTGAAATAGCATTAGATTATTACATTTTGGTGTTTAATTTTAACAAAAGATGGGTAAAAAATGCATTGCATTTTTCAAAAATGGTTGATGTTCTCATTGCAATTTATCATTCTTTTTTTTTTTTTTAATAACTGGCTGTTAAGATGTGTTATCCTGTTTTCTCTCTATATAATATATATATATATATATATATATATATATATAATCATATTAATGAATAGTATAATGAAATATCCTCATGACTTTTGAAAAATCTTTTATTTTTCAATGCATTTGTTTTGCATATAATCTACTTTACACTTTCCTTTAGCCTTGGTCACTGATTTATTGTTCTTATTTAGCTCATTTCATATTAATAATCTATTAGGATTATCATTAATTCAGTTGTTAACATCAAATTACTGTTTGCTGATTCTTTTTTTTTTTTTTTTCATCTACAATCTGTTTTTTCCCTTTTTAAAGATATTTATTAATTATTAAATTTAACTTAATATTTTTTTTAACTACTTTTTTTTTTTTTTGTTGCATGCAGACTACACCAACTTATTCTAAACATTTTTAATTGATTTCTCTCTAAAAGCCTTCACAAAATCCAGTTTGATTTTAACATAATGGAGATTTAGTATTTTGTTGTCCATCTTTAAATTCTTTCAAAATGTCACCAATCATCTCTGTAATATGCTATTGAAGATACTACAATTCTTTGGGCATCCACTTTCAGCATGTTTTTTTTTTTATGATGAATCCTTGGTAGGATTGAGGTTGGGTAAATTTCCTGATCACTTGCTTAATCTATATGAAAAATCTTTTCTAACTTTTACTTGGTTTGAAAGTGATTTGTTTCTTCACCAGTAAGCCACCCATTAAATTCTACAAAAAAAAGAGAAAAGGCAAATATTTGTGTCTTTACTTGCATTGAAAATGTCAAGAAAATCTGAAACTTCAGCCATGATGTTTAGTATTATTAAGTTCCATCAGAGTAGTATATAGACTCCAGGATATTGACCTGCAAAAAGTGTTTGTTTTATTACAATACACATTTTTAAAGAAAAAGTGCTCTACTAATTAGATTCATATTAATTAAATGAGTCCATATTTTATTCACAAATTTATTTTTTTTTTTTTTTAATTTTTTTTTTTCTTACAGTGAGGTTCAGCCATTACAAGGCTTGGAAAGCCACTCAATGTTTAGGGACCATTTGTGTGTATAGGAGTGGAAGGTAACTGTTAACCCTGGCCTTGAACAGGTTAAGATTGTAGTGATTGGGGAAACATCCTGTTGAGAGTTGGTTCTACAGGGCAGTGATTCGCGGGAAGAAGCTGCTCAAATGGAACTTACTTCTCACCAATGGAATATGGAGGGAATATAAGTGGCATGGCATGTTCTTGCTGTGAAGGTTTGTCTTGGTGAGACCAGGGAATGTAGTTCATCAGAGCACCCTCTATGGAAATAACAGTAGAGCAACGAAATGCTTGCCATATCTTGCCTGTGTGAGAGAGGTTGAAGGATGGTGAATAATTCATCACCCACAAGGGCTTGGAGATGCTTTTGCAAAAGTAGAGGATACCAGGAGGAGTCTGATACTTACTAGAGTGGTACAGAGAGCCAACCATTTTACCTGCATCTTTAGCAATGGATCGTATGTACAAGTTCCACTTAAAGTTGGGCATGAGTATGAAGCCCAACAGTCTTTCAAGGCATAGTGCTTCCCCGGCAGGACCTCTGTTCATCCTGATTGGTAGTAGTTCAGGGTCAGATCAGTGATGATTGAATGTAACGAGCTTGGTCTTTGAGGCATTGAATGTAACCAGTTTTTACCCCATTGGGTAGTTTAATATCTTCATAAGACTTCCAAACCAAATTTTAGGTATGCATTGTTTGCAACTTACAATCCACACTTAATCAAGAATTGTATTAAATAATCTGTATTAATGAAGGCTTTGTTGTATATTCTTACAAAGGTTATAATTGTTTTATCAATATTTGCTAAGTTGGATATAATCATTGTATAAAACTAAAAAAAAATATTCAAAACAAAATCATATAATGCCTAAATGACAAATAGTAGTGTGTGTATTTACCCCTGGTTTCAGCTGTGTCTTTGTCTGCAGACAGAGCCACAACTGAATCACACTCAACCTGAAGACAGACACATAACTGAGGCAACCCTACCCGTCATGTGTCAGGTAAATAATGACAAATATTAGTACATGAAAAAGTTTATATAATTACTGGTTTATAAGATAGTATAGCTGATTTGATTTCACTGTGGCTTATTTTGCTATTCAAAAAATATTAATGTTTGAAAATTATTTTTTTCTAGGTGTGGAACATTAGGGTTGATGTACATGTCCTTAACCATGATGGTAATTTGATTGATTGTGCTAGTGTAGCAGCTATTACTGCCTTAGCACATTTTAGGTAAAAATTTAATTTTACTTTTTTCTCTTTTTTTTTTTTTTTTTTTAAACACTCTTCACTATTTTGTTTCTGTCATCTTCTTTCACTGCATAAATCTTAATCACCACTTTATAGATTTTATTTTATATACAATATTATGTTATTTTTTTATATACAACTTTTTATGGATGTTTATTGCAAAAGCAACTTTATAAAATTGGAATACTGAGTCAATACCTACGTGAATTTTGACATCTGCTGTATGCTTTATGCATTACAAAACAATGTACACTGGCTTTTATAGACACATTTTTAAAAAAATCTAGTTCCAGTAATATTATTTTCTGTACTTTTTTTTTATTATTCTGAAGAGCCTATTGACTTATTTTGCATATTTAAGCTTAATTCTTTGTCTTTTTTTATTCAGGAGACCAGATGTAACTGTTAGTGCTGAGGAAGTTACAGTTGTAAGTTTCATTTCTTTTCTATTGCTTATTTTAATTTTAAAACAACACACTCCATTGCAATATTGAAGAAAATATACATCCTTCTGTAATTTATAGTTTCATTAAAAGCAATTAAAAAAAAAAAAAAAAAGAAAAAAAAAAAACTTGTGCTGACATTCTTTTCAACAAGCTTATTGTGTTTGATATTAGAATGTCCTCTGCTTTACTGTCACTATAAAAGTTTATTAACCTTATTAGATTAAAATTTTTCACAGGTAAAATAGATTAATAGTTTGGTTGATAAGTTTTAGTCCAGGAGTAACCTTGTAATTAAAAAAGAATATTTTTAATTAATAATTTTTGTTTGCTTATATTAGTTTATGAAACTAATAAATAATCTATAATATTAATTCTTAATTAGGCTACATAATTTTCCATGGAAAGAATTTCAAATTAGATAGAAAGGATTCTTCATCTTTACAAACTTCTCTTTGTAACCAATATACACAATTCTTTGTTATTTAATAGCATTTATTATCATTTGGAGTGCACAGAGTCACTTAAACTCTGTCAATGGCTCTTTGTGACTTCATTGTTTTTCTTGGTAAAAACATGATTTCTATTTTCATTTTTGCTAGATTGTATCATAGCTATATTATTAATTGTATTTCAATAATAGCTATTCTGAAAGTAAATATATTTAATATATAAGTTATTCTTTTGCAACAAAGAGTGGAAGACTTGCAATTTCTCAAAATGCAATCTGGTATAAATAAATGTCTAGAGGCTTACAGCCATATCATGTTGAAATACTGGTTCTTGTAAGCAATGTTGAGTCTGGTCAGTACCTAGGTGGGTGACTACTTGGGAATACTAGGCACTGTAAGTTTGGATGTGTGGGTGGTGTAATGGATAAGTTTGAAATTGAAAGTCTGAGAGACAAGTTCCAATTCCAATTGGGTTCATTATATTCACTTACATGCAAAGATATGAATCCATGTTTTCTCATCCCTGTTACAGGTTAATTAGTAGGACTTGTATCAGTAAAGCATCAATATTTCCAAAACATTCTTACATTCTGATGTGACACTGGCAAACGGAAAGAAAAGGTTAAATTAAGAGCATAAGTCTAAACAAGACGAGAAGGATTAAAGAATAGAACAGTGGATAGTCTGAGAGAAGCAAGATTTCTTTCTTTTCAAAAGTCTAATTTTCTTGGGGAAGAAAACAACCCAGAGATAAGTGATTCTGTTACAAGATATTATTGCAAGGAGCCATATGGTGATATTTAGCTGACAGCTGATTGATTATATTGCCCTAAAAGAGAGCCAGTTATGAAAACACAAATTGAGAGATAAAATTTAGTGATCTCTGTAGCTAAATCAAGGGAATAAAGTTCCTTTGTGTAGGGACCCAGAACCCAGGGTGCTTGGAGTGCAATGGTTTTTGCAGGATGGTAGGGGTTGACTGACTGGAAAAAAACAGCTGGTAAATTTCTGATTTTATCAGAAGGCCTGGCTGAGAAATTTTGCTAACGAGAAATTAAAATGATAATTTTAATTAATGACCACAAACTAAGCCATGCCAAGCAGTTGAGAACCCGATTGGTCGAAGAACAACCAAGGTGATGGGCACAGGTGAAATACTAAGGAAGACTGAGGAATTGCCTACACCCATTGTGATGTGTTAGTGTGAGGCATAAATAAGAGAAGGAAGGAGTTGGGCAGATCAATATCCTGTGACTGCTACCCATTGTAAAAGGGATCTTTCCAAATTTGGAGAAATAATTAATTATCCAGAGTCAGACAACAAAGAGGCTCTTGTCTTATGATAGAGGAAACACTGAAGCCCCCAATCACCATGCCAGTTTTGGGTGGAAACTAATATAAGCTGAATACTGAGGTGACCAAGAGAGAGTTACCAGAAGTTCTACAGACAGGTAGTTCTAGATGAGAGACAGCCACTTTGTCGAATCCCAAATAACTTACTGCCAGAGAGAACCTCCAACTCAAGCCTTGTACCAGACTTACCTAAGTTAAGCAAAGTATCACCATAGACTTCAAAGTGGGAAGGGTTAATATTTCTGTACCAAGAACTTGTATTATTGTACAAAGAATTGATATAAAATTACATAGAAGTAGAATCTGAAGAAATTCTTGTTTTTTCTTTACTTGTCTGCGAGAACGTTTTTTTCATTTCCTTTGTGACACAGCTTTGCGGGGTCAAACCAACACTGCAATTGCTGATGACATTGTGATCTCTGCAAGCTCTGTGATCAATCAACATGAGGTGGGCCGAGCAATGGTTTAGACCAGAGTGACCTACTTAATGGTCAGTAGCAGCATTTGACCAAAAAACTGACTGGAGATTTACACTAAATACACTTTATACTAAAAATATTTTCTGGTTTTAAATAATGTGCAAAAAGTTGATAAACCATAAAACAAAAACATATCAATCAATGTCTAGATCAAGTTTATTTTATGCTTTTCTATATTCAGACATTCATACCGTTTGAATATTTTGGATGTGGGAACTAAACAATTTGATTGTTATTGTAAAGAAGTAAGCTGAAAGACTGAAGATTTAGATGCATTTCAACTTGGCATTAAACTAATTATGTGTACACCAGTATGACTCTAGTCTAGATTTACCAGCTAGGCCACAACATTAAGTCCTGTAAAATTTACAATTACAAAAGAATTGGATATTTTTTATAACCACTGTATTTTGTGCAGCATCCTGTTGATGAGAAAGAGCCAATACCACTCAGCCTTCACCACATGCCGGTGTGTGTATCATTTGCCTTTTTTCAACAAGGGTGAGTAAATCTATACTAAAGAAATATATGTACATGTTCCTGCTTATTCTTTGAAAATAAATGCATAAATAAAAAAAAAAAGAAAAATTTGTATTGTGTTATTTTCCAAATAATGAGTTTCAAAATATTGGATTTCTTTGTTTAGAAAATAAACCTGAATTTGAATTTATGTAAGGGAATGGAATTCTCTTTTAAGTTATACTGAACTGTTCATAATTTCTTCCTGTCAAGCTGCTAAATAATTTAATATTTTTTTACCCTTTTTTTCCCTTCCATTGTTATAAACTGGAAATTTTTCAATTGATAAGTTGAAATAAAAAGTTGTATAACAGCTCATATTGATCTTTTTTTATCATGAACTGCTTTTAAAAGAAAACCAACATGGTCTAGTTAAACATTAATCAGTTTTTAATTTTTTCTTTTACCACTTGAAAAATATTTTGATTGAAAAACTTTTCAAATGTATGTGAAGTGATTTGAAAACTACAAAAATGTAGTTTTTATTTTAGAATATTTTACTAAAGTACAGAAGGCTGGTTTATAAATTCATATAAAATTATTTACATGTGCTAATTTTGTGTATGTGCATTTTAATACAAGTAAATCAAAACTTTATTTGATGGGGAAGGAGATAAAAATGGAAAATTAGTATACCTGGAGCATAGGATTTTTTTTCTTCTTTTTTTAAGAGTCAGTCAAGTTTGTAGGAATATTTTTCATTAAATACTGCTTGTTGGATCCATTGAATCAATGAATTTGGAATTTATTATTGTTGTTTCCTTTTATCTATCTGGACTTCAAAAACTCCTTATAAATTAGAAAGACGCAACAATGAAGTAAAAAAAAAATAATAAATAAATAAATAAAAAGAATATATGTACAAAGCATTAAACTATGCATAAAGATAACATTTTAAAAAAATTACTTGAGCTGGAAATGTTTTTGTTTTTGTAGAAAGTATCTTCTGGTTGATCCAACAGAGAAAGAAGAAAAAGTGATGGATGGTAAAATGGTGATTGGAATGAACAAACACAGAGAAATATGTACATTGCAAATGGCTGGTGACATGCTTCTTATGGATGACCAGGTTAATTTGTAGTTTTTTAATTTTTTTTATTTCAGCATCTTTTTTTTTATTTTAGATTTCAAGGTACATGGAAGTATATTTATCTTGTGTGTATGTATGTCTATATATATATATATATATATATATATATATATATATATATATATATATATTCAAACATTATAATGTCTAATTCATATTTGAAATAGATACCCTATTTCTATTTATTAAACTATGTATTATGTCTACAGGCCTGTGCATTTGAGGAATGCTAGTAACAAAAATGCATTCCTCTACCAGGGATTGAACATGTGTCCCCTTTGTAGGGGAAACCACCATTTGATTTTTTTTAAATATGAAGTATCCACAATGTTTGAAGTAATGAAAAATGTTGGATTAAAAATAAATCCATTAATTTGTTAGAAATATCTGCTATCTATCTATATATAAAATTCTGTGACTTCTGTTCATTCATATGTCTGACATACCCTCTAAAATAGGCATACATTGACTGATCAAAACCAGATTTTGGGTAGAAGTACAAACAGGTAAGGGGGTACAAGGTACACTTGTTTTTTTACTCGGCATAGCTTAGTACAATAAATTTTCATTAAGTTTTTTGGAAAAGTTAAAAGTTTTATTATTTAACATACAAAATACGCCCACTATTTTAAAAACAATTTAATGATTAAAATAACAATTACTTATGTAATAAAAATGCAATATTTGTTTTGCATATCTTTTCTTTAAGTTTTTATAGATAAGAATCCAGTTTCCAGTTTGTCTTGCATTTGCAAGAACTATAAGCAAATCACAAGGCCAAATGCTTCAAAAAGTTGGAATTTGGCTCCAGAAAGAAATATTTACACATGACCAGCTGTATGTTGCATTCTCAAGAATAAGAAATCCTAAGAATCTATTCTTTGCTGTTAAAAAGGAAATTTTCTTAAAAAATATTGTTTACCATGAAGTCCTTTAAAATTAAATTAAAGAAATTATTTAACTGCAAAGTAGGGTTTTTGTCAAAATATTTCTCCAAACAAATCAGCTTATTCAAATTTAATTGATTGGTTTGCAAAATTGAACGAAATGTAGATTTTGTAAATCTCAATAAAAAATGTTAGCAATAACTTCAAAAATACCAAATATAGTGAAGATTGCAACACGCTAATGCGTGTTGCAAAAATTCTAGTATTTACATTTTGTAGAAGTGCTGGAATGCATTTTAGCAAAAATATATAAACCTAGTTTGAGATAGAGATTGAGAATATTTGAACTTAAAAGGCAAAGCACAAATATTGCAGCACCAGTACTCAATATATTAGGTAACTCTACAAAAATCTCAATATTTAAGGCTTAAATTTTTAAAAATGAAAAAGCTTTCTTGAAGCTTTCATTTTAGATCTAATTAAAAGCTAAAGGATAAAATTTACTATTTCCTGTAAGCAAAATACTCTAGTGTATTTCAAATTGTATTAGAATTGATTTTGATTTTTCAGTAACATTGACAAAGTTGTCTATTTTTGAGACCTTTGTAAACACAAGTTAGTTCTTGTTTTTAAATATCTTACAAAAATGTACTTTTCTGAAACTTTATTTGAGGAATATTAGCTGATTTAAAGTATAATTAATCTGATCTCAAACAAATATTATTTATTTTAAGTTTAAAATATTGCAGAAAGCATTTTTAACTCTACTGTAGCTGTGTTTTTTAACATGACAGTAGTTGATTTGACAACCTGATGCCATGTCTATGTTCTTCTACAGAGACTTTCTCTATAAAACATAATTTAAGAAAATGATATGAGAGCCTTTTTTATATAATTCGTAAGTACTCAGTAATCATAAAAATTTTTAAAAATATTCTCTGATCTAATGTTTTATTAATTTTAAAAAAATGTTGACTTTAAATTTACTATAGCTGTCATTCTTATTTTCTGATAATGTGTATGATCAACCATACTTACAAAAATGGGTACATTTATATACAAAAAAAAATTCTTTTAAAAATATTGGTGTTTGATGACTTGTATTAAGCTTTTCCATTTCTGATTAGTAAATAGTTTTTACTTAATATCTAGCAGGCAGAAATTAATACAGAATTTTAAGATTTAAAACTTTCAAAATTATAAAAAATTAAAAAAAAAATCAAAACAATTTGTCTAAATCATTAGTAATTACAATCTGACAATTATTTGATTTTCATCGAAAAAAAATCTATTTTTCTTAATATATCTTACTTATAAAAGCAATTAAAAGCTTTTTTTAATTAAATAATGTCATAGTTTTATTGCATTTTTTTATTTTATGATTAAGAGCAGATTTTTGGTAAATGAGGTTTCTGTTTGACAAAAACAAATTGATGACAAATTTTCCCAGGAGTCCTGCTTTTAACCAATATAAACATTAAGCAGATCAAAATTTAATTTCCTGAAATTTCATAAAATTAAGTGGGGGTAACAGATGTAAAAAAAAAAAAAAAAAAAGTAATAAAAAAGTATTTAAAAAATAATTTAATTCATTTGTAAATAAGTCCTGAAAATTTAATTACAATCTGACAATTATTTGATTTTTGTAAGAATTTACAAAACCATGAAGCTTTTTACTGCAAAAAAGATGCTAAATTTCCCATGGTAATCTTTGGCCCGAAATTTTTAACCAAAATTTAGAATGTGCTAGAACATACTAGTTTTTGTCAAATTTGCGTCCTTTTTTTCATCATGCTATGCTCATTTTAGTGAAAATTGGTAGTACCTAATTTAAGATGTTTAAATAATTGTATTGCTAAGTATATCAAATATCAACATATTTTCATCAAGTATTAGCAAAACTGGAGGAATTGATAGTTGATAAGCCAAGTAACACCAAAAATTTTAATTAGTAGAGAATTATAATCAATAAAGATATTTTTTTTTATGCTTTTAAATAAGGCAATATTTATGAGAATGGCACGTACTTTTAGGATTGTTGCAATTTTTTTCCCCTCAATTTCAAATGAAACTTATTTGTGCAGAAATATAATACAATTTATGTTTAAATTACATTTAATGATTAATAATAGGTGTGTTAGTAAAATATTAATCAGTGTTTTGTTAGTAGATGAGTGATTTACTGATGTGTGATACAGTTTCACTATGGAGGATCTCTTAACAGAGATAAATTACAATGCAGTGCATAAAGACCCTATTTCAAGTTCTTTTAATGTATGATGATGGTTAAATTTACATTCAACTGTCATAGTATTTAGAGAAATAATTTTAAAGGTCTTTAGTGTTTGGTTTGTTTGCTGAATTTATGTATCTTTTGCTGCTGCCCACACTCTTAAAAATCTCTCTCGTGTGTATATATATATATATATATATATATATATATATATATAGAATACATTTTTAAGGTTTTTGTAAAGTAATGAGTAACAAAGTAAACTTTCAAGCTATTACTAATGATTTTGATCTTATAAATTTTTGTTACATGAGGGTAATTGTAAAATATTTTGAAGTAGTAGGTCATTAATCTTGCAGACTATTGATAGTAAATTTGATATTCACAGCCCTTTATTGTGTCCCTAAGCTGAATAAATATTTACATAAACAATATTTATAAATCAGAAATATTGAAAAAAAGATCCCTCCCCTGCTTTTTTTTTTTGTTTTTGTTTTTTTTTTTGTTCACCTCAAGCAAGGCATTAAAGCCATTGAGACACAAGGGGTTACTGGGTGTGGAAGAATTAGAAAACTGAAACACCACTAAGGACCAAGTACAGAAGAGTAATTAGGAGAACAGTATCTAGCAATTGAAATTGCATTTAAATTTTGTAAGATTAAAGTTGGAATGCATGGAATCAGAAGGGAGTTCTACAGGCAAGAAGTACCAGTAGAGAAACTGTTAACATAGAATTTACAGTTACATCTCAGCCAACTCAACTGCATATTGAGGAGACCTTGTTGTTAAGTCTAGTACTGCATGTGTATTCATAAAGTCAAGGTACTATAGTGAAGTGCTCATCTGAATAATTACCATGAAAGTAATTAGAATTCCAGTGATTTGGTGTAGATGTGTTAATAAAGAAAAATATCTTCTCTTTTAGAAATGTTTATTAAATAAACATTGGTGTTTGGTAAAATATCGAATTAGTATGAGATTAATCCTTGTATTATGCAAAATCATTCATTTATTTTTATTATTTCATCAAACATGGCTTTTTATTTCAAACTCTATTAAAGTACTTTCTTTACCCATTCATTTTTTTTCCAGGCAATATTATTGATTTATGTATGGATTAATCAATATTTTAATAATTGTTACATTTCTTTTTTTTTTTTTTTTTTTTTAATGTTTCAGATTTTGCGTTGCTCTAATATTGCCGTTGTAAAAGTCAAAGAAATCTCAGATCTTATTCAAACAGCATTGGAAAATGATAGAATAGCAAGGTAAGGGAGATAACTTTTCTTTACACATTTCATGGTTATCTGTCCCTGTCCAATATTTTATTGTTAATGGATTAGGTATCGCCACTAATTCGGTGGACCTAAGAAATGAATTTTCGTAAATAAAAATTCTTTCTTGAAGCTTTCATTTTAGCTTTAATTGAAAGCTAAAGGATTAAATTTACTATTTCGAGTAAGTAAAATACTCGGTAGTGTATTTGAAATAGAAATTCTATTGGTTGGAGTCGATTCTTTTTTTTTTTTTTTTTTTTTTTTCAAAATAGTTTCTTTTTTAGCCATCTGTCATAGCAATAAATTTTTCTTTATTAAAAAAAATCTGCAAAAAATATACTTTTCTGAAATTTTATTTGAGGAATATTAACTGATTTAAAGTATAATTAGTCTAATTTGAAACATATTATTTACTTTAAGTTGAAAATAACAGAAAAACGGATTTTTAAAACAAACAGTAGTGATTATTAAGTGCTTGTCAACACCTTGTAAATCACTTGAGTGATTTATGAGGTGTTGGCACATTTATTATTGTTCTACAGTGACCTTATCTGTTAAAACATAATTTAAGAAAATGACAATGTTATTTTTATATAATTTTTAAATACTCAGTAATCTTCAAAATCTTGGAAATATTCTCTGTGATCTAATTTTAGGAATGTTGACCTTAAATTTACTATCATGATCAATCTTATTTTCAGATAATGTTGTGTATGGTTACCTCATACTTTTGAAATTGGCACGTTTATACTCATAAAAAAAATTTAAAATTTATTTTTAAAATCTTAGTGTTATGATTTGTATTAAGCTTTTCAATTTTCACTTAGTAAATATAGTCTTCACTTAATCACCTAATGAGGATGAAGTTTGGAAGACTTTTTAAAACATTTTTGAAACTTTATAAATTATTATAAGTAAAAAAAAAAACTTTTAAAAATGAAACAATTCTTGTAAAAATTCATTATTCATTGAAAATACTTTTCTTCAGACTATAATGTCTTTAATATGTTATTTATAAAAGCAATTAAAAATTTATCTAATTAAATAAATAGATAGTTTTATTGCTGTTTTTATTTTACAATTTAGAGCAGACTTTCAGCAAAATAATTTTAAGTAATAAAAAATTTGGAGTATGGAATTTAATTTCTAGAAATTTCATGAAATTAAGTAAATGGGTGGAGAGATATAAAAAATTTTTTTTTTTTTTACCAAGATTTTCAAAAAATAATTTCAAAAATAAATTTATTCATTTGTGAATAAGTTCTGAAAGTTTCATTAAAATCTGAAAATTATTTGATTTTTTTTAAGACTTTCCAAATTAATGTGTTGTGTTTTTTTTTTTTTTTTTTTTATCAGAAAATGGGCATAAGAATTACACAACTGATGCATAAAAAAAAGATTTTTTTAACCAAAATTTTGAACATGTTAGAAAGGAATAAAAATTTTTTAAAAATAATTAAAATATACTTTGATTTTTCTTCTTAATAAAAACAAACATTTTGACAATAAAACTTAGTTTTTATTAAGTTTGGGGCCTTTTTTCATTATGCTATGCTGTTTTTTAATGAATTAGAGGAGGTAAACTTAAATTAAAACTTTGATGTACCGCAAATTATATTATTTTAATGACTACAAATTCAAATATTTTAACAAAAGTATTATGTTGGTACATTATATATGACTAGTTATATAATTTTTCTCTTTATCTATACATCTTCTTTGTTTAAACTGGTTTCATAAGCTTTATTAGAAATGTGTTAATTGCCAATTTTTTCATTCAAATTAACTTTGAATTTGGTTGATTATAGCAGGATAATATGTTGTATTTTCATTTTTATTTTATTTATTATAAAGGTCAACTGGTGCTAAGTTTGGATTTGCTGAATCTGTTGAGCCACAGAAGATAACAGCCATGCAGAAAGAGCTTGCTGAAGTGGATCTGTCTAACCTAAGTAGCAAAGAGGCAGAATTACTGACTGCTCCAGAAACTCCTGAATCAAGTTCTGAATCTTCGTATCCTTTTATGCTAATTATTATTTAGTGAATGATCTGTATGTATTCACCTTTTGACAAATCTCAAAAATTGTTAATTGTTTAGAAGCTTTAAACAAAGGATAGAAAATGCTATTGGAGATTTAGATTTTATTTATTATTTCTATATTCATTTAGATACTTAAGATTTTTGTCGCATTTCATGTCATCTCTATCTTCAGTTCTTCAGACACCAATGTTACATCATAGACTGCATCAATTGACAGACAATTTTTTATCATCTCACTTTATTTTCAGAGGGACAGTCATTGTAACATTGTTTCTAGGAGGAAACTAAAGAGAGAAGATTTATCACTATCTGCTAGCTTGTTTCACTAAGGTATCTAAATGTAGGAGGCGTCTCGACTTTTCTAATTCTTGCAGCTGTCTGAATGTCTTAGTTTAAATTTTGATAAGACCAAAAAGACACAAAGGCAATAGATTACTTTCAGAATTCCATGTCCATAGGGTTAAGACCACTCTCCACTCAGTTTGTGTCATCAGAGTTTTGACTAGTAGTTTGCCATTCTGGGCCAGCCTAGATATTCTGTAACATTTATCAGATTGGTGTTTAAAGCTGCCATCAGTAAATTTTTGTTATTAATCTGAAAATAGTTTTTGGTCCAAAGAGGGGGGGTGGGGGTCTTAATTTCTCTGTAATATTACTGTTCATTTTATTTTATGCCTGCATATTTTATTGTAATTGGTATTCTAAGGTTTTGAATCTAGTCATAAAATTTTAAACATTAATTAGTTTTGCTAAGCATCCAGAATTGTCCACAAGCCCAAGCATAAAATAACAGATTCTCTAGAATTATCTTGGATTTGAACCTTGTTTATAAATTATCCAACATTGCATGTGATAAGCTTTGAAGTATAGGAACACAGGTATCAATATTATTGCCTTCTTTTTGTGTAATGAAATATTTAGACATTTTCTTGGTTGATGTAATGTATATCAGATATACACACCATTTTGTATGGAAGTATCTGACTTTCAAATAGAAATTTTTGTGTTATAGAATAATTTGTTTCATTAAGTTTCTGTGCAGAATCTCTAGTTCCAGAAGGATCTTGAAATAAAACATAGAAAGGGGCCAGTTGGTTAAAACTGTTCAAAAATTGATATTTTTTATTTTTTAGAAAGTAATCTAACTTGGAATATAAATTTTATGGTGTGTTGACATAACAAAAATTTACTAAGAACCAAAAATGGTATTGTATAGTACAATAAGTTAAGTGTTGATTTACAGTAATTTAATTTAAAAAATGTAACATTAAATCTGAGATTCCTATAGTGGGCAGTACTGTACCCTCAGGGACTGTGGAAAGATATGGGTAAATGTTATGGTTAGAACAATTGCCTGTCAAAGTCTAGCTGGGTTGATTTAAAATAGAGTATTTTTTCTTTTTACAAAATGTAGATAAAGTCTAAGTCACTTAAAGTTAATGGACATGTATGCTTTTAGAAGAATAAAATAAATCTAAGAGTTATACACAAATGCATGATTTTATTTTATTTTGTTGTCAAAAGTCGAGTCTGAACATGTGTATCTTTCTGACATCTGGACAGAGCAGGACATATTAAATGCCAGCCAAATCAGACAGATAATGTCTGCAGGGTTTTAAGTATAGTGGTATAACTGAAATGCATATATGTGTTTATAGCGTTAGACTATTTGTTTCAAATTTGCAGTTTACTTGATACCAAGAAAGTGTCTTCATATGGGTGTGTGATGGGAGGGTCACTAGGGACATGACCTGGGATCCAAATAGCTAGAAAAGTTTGAGAACCCTTGCACTGAATTAACACAATTTTTGTTAATATATCTCATATTGGGTAAATCACCTGTTGATAAAAGCTGAAGGAGAAACAGATGTTGCTTTTATTAACTTTGTTTATAACGAATTGACCTAATTTCAACTTTTCATATTTACACATGTGTTTTTACTTGAGAATAAGTGAAAAATTTTCCTTAGCCAATATTTATAGAAGCAGCAGTTGTGAAATAAATTCACCTCGTATAAAACTTTGGGTAAGTAGATATTTTATAAATTTATTTTATAAAATAATAATGATGTAATTTATGTCAATAATTTTTTGTAATAAATTTTGTTTTTGTACATTTCCTTATAAATAAGCTGCATAACCCTCAATATATCACATGCCAGAAATATTACAATTCTTTCAAAATCAGAGTTTTATCATTTTATTTTCATCTGAAATGATTATGGTTAATATTGAAATATTTTATATATTTATTTTTTTCCTCAATGCAAATAAAATAATTCACACATTTATTTTAAAATTAAAAAAAAATCACTATTACATCTAAAAAAAGAAAAAAATAACTTATATTTTTTCTTGTTCCTGAACTTTAATTTATTAACTCTTAACCAATATATCATGATACCTGTAATGAAGTAGTTGTATTTAATAAATCTCATATTTGGTCAAAAATGGATATTTTATTGCAATTACAATTAAATTCCCTTTGTTTTTATCATTTTTATTACAAAGATATACATTTTTATGAAATATTTAAAATATACTTGTATTTAAACTATATAATCTGGAAATCTATAATATCAAACAATGTGACTTTATATATTTATTGATTATGCTGCTTGTTACCTGTTTTTCTTTTCTTTTCTTTTTTTTTTAAGTAATGAGATATTTCACTGTTATGGTAGCAGGATTTATTGCTCGTTACAAGAACCTTACATAACTGATGCTGCCATAATAATAGAATATCTCATAGAAAATAGTAAGAATAGGTCATTAGATTGTTTTTTTATTTCTTGTTTTGTGTTAAATTTCTTTGGATAATTTTAAAAGCAAAATTTTTTTAAACTTACATCCAACAAAATTGTATGCATAAAAATCTTAGGTTATTGATGCAGAAAACATGACCAATATAATTGTAAAAATTACTTAATTGTCATTTGTTTTGAAAATTCTATTCTTTAATTTTTTTTAACAGTAAATATTTATAAATAGTTTTTAAAGTATTACAAGGGAGTTAACTTTTATTAATTTTGTAATAGTTATGGGCCTTAGTAGAAAGATTTACTGATTATATAATTAATACATAATCGACCTACTGTTAATAATGATGGCATGAATTTCTGACTACAGACACTCCCTTTCTTTTTAATTTTCAATGAAAAACAAATTCTGAGGAGGTGTAACATTCTATAAAAAAGTTTATCTAAAAACGTTCAAAATTTAATTTTAAATCACCGAATTTTCCTCCCACAACCTAATTTTATCACTACTGAAAATAACTGAAGCTAAGCAGGGGCTGGAGATGTATTGCTGAAGTTAGTGAGCAGAAATTTCAGAAAATAAAACAACCATCTATCTCTATATATCTATCTCTATCTCTATCTATCTATCTCTATCTCTATCTCTATCTATCTCTATCTATCTCTATCTCTATCTATCTCTATCTCTATCTATCTCTATCTCTATCTCTATCTATATCTATCTCTATCTATCTCTCTCTATCTCTATCTCTATCTATCTCTCTCTATCTCTCTCTATCTCTATCTCTATCTATCTCTATCTCTCACAGCTGTTTGAGGTTTCCTACAGACCCACTGAACTTAAATAAAGTCAATTCAGGTTTCCTATGGTAAAGATTTTCTTTCCCAAATGAAAATCATCACAAAAATAGCAAAAGTCATTTTGTCACAGCTTATTTTCTCTCAAAATATGGGTTTTCATACTTTTTTAGGGGTAAAATATTGAAAAATGACTGTTTTATCATCACCTAAACTAATATCAAGGAAACTTTTGATCTGAACCCCATGAAACTAGGTATTTTCTGAAAGCAAAAGATGTATTCTTTCATTTAAAAGTAAAATTAGCTGGTGTAAATGACTCAAAAAATTTTTTCAGTGGGTAAAATGTGAAAAAATAGTGAAAATTTTTGCATTTTTTTAAAATTTCTAAACAAATATTTCCCCATTAATGGAAATTAATCTTTTTTTTTTTTTTTTTTTGAAAATCAGAAAGCCAAATCATAATGAAACTATTTCAGGCATAAAATTGAGAGTTTTGAAGGAAATCAACATTCCTAGAGGTTCAAAATGTGACAAAATCCATTGGTAATTTTCAATTATATGACTGCCAAGGGTTAAAAAAATTGACACCTGGCCACGGAAATCTTTAGTAAAAGGCAAGAGATTTATTTGCAATTCCTAACCACCAGAAACCAAAAGTTTTTTTTTTCCCCTAAAAATAGCGATAAGGGAAAATAAACCTAATTGACTTTGACGTCTAGGTCAAAGGCCAGCCAGCCAGCCAGCAATAAACGGACGGCAAACCTTAGAACAAGTTGTAATAAAACCCACCACTCCCAGATAAAAGCAAAGAGTGAAAAAAAAAAAAAGGGGTTCCCAATTACTAGGGCTTCATACAACCTATGTTTGAACAATGGCTTGATGAGTTTACTTTTGTTTTGTTTTTAACACCCCGTGACCCGGGTGATGACAACAACACTTAGCAGTCGACATTGTTTTTTTTCGCCGCATATCTTTCGTATTTCCCATCGCCGGTCCATTTAGCCTTTCTTTTTATTCAATGATGTTCATGCCAAATGAAAGAGAAAGGAATGACTTTTGAATGATGTTATTTTGAAGCAAAAATAAATATTTTTTCATAAAAAAAAGGGGATAATTTCTTAATGCTAACCGCCGAGTGACATTTTCCACAGCCAAATCGAAGATTAATTACCAGTGAATAATTCCATGTGCAAAAAATAGCTGTCTGGATCTTATAAGGTCGCCCTAAAAGGTCCAGAAGTTTACTAATTGATCGAAAACCTGTTGCGCATAATTGTATTTTTCACGGTCAGTTTGCATTATTTCATCTTGATATTACCATTTTTGGACAGCCAAGTCATCAAGGATTCAGGAAAACACTTTGGCATAGGTTTTCTTTAAGAACTTTACATTCTATGAGGTGTTTAAAATGTTACTAACGAATGAGATTTTTTGCCAAATATTTCGTTCACGCACCATGTTGGATTTTCCTATATGACAAAAACAAGGGTTTTAAACAGCTGTGCTCTATCTCTATCTATCTCTATCTATCTCTATCTATCTCTATCTATCTCTATCTATCTCTATCTATCTCTATCTATCTCTATCTATCTCTATCTCTATCTATCTCTATCTCTATCTCTATCTCTATCTCTATATCTCTATCTATCTCTATATCTCTATCTATCTCTATCTCTATCTATCTCTATCTATCTCTATCTCTATCTATCTCTATCTCTATCTCTATCTCTATCTATCTCTATCTCTATCTATCTCTATCTCTATCTCTATCTATCTCTATCTCTATCTATCTATCTCTATCTCTATCTCTATCTATCTCTCTCTATCTCTATCTCTATCTATCTCTATCTCTATCTCTATCTCTATCTCTATCTCTATCTATCTCTATCTCTATCTCTATCTCTATCTATCTATATTTATCTCTATCTCTCTCTATCTCTATCTATATCTATCTCTATCTATCTATCTATATCTAATAATTAAAATAAAAAGAACAGTCAGAGCAATGCAGAAATTACCATGTTTTGAAACTTAAAATTTGAAGTTTAGTTACATTTTCAAGCAATGCCAGCATTAATTTAAGATTTAGGTTTTGGTTTTAAAACATGGTAATTTCTGTGTTGCAATGAGTACATATTTTTAAAAATAATTATAAAACATATGGTTCAAATGTGGTTATAACTAAAATATGGTTGGGATCGTTTTTCATATTTTTTCCTCTACTACTTTCAGAATTTACTCCATTATGATATATGCGCTTAATAAAAACCTACTTGTGATATCATGAATGAATAAATATATATATATATATATATATATGTGTGTGTCTGTGTTTGCAAAAATAAACACTGAGTAACAATTGCATTAAGAAATGTTTTTATTTTCAGGCATTACAAAAATATTTATTATTTGATATTCTTAATAAATTCTTAATAAAATAAAGCATTTCTGTTATTATAACAAAGGCATCAAAATTATGTATATTAATATTTATTTATTGATTAATTAATATTTTATAAATTTTACCCTTCTATTTATTGTAATTTTTTTTTCCAAAGGGTGCTGGAACTGCTCAGCTGGGTAAAGATATTGAAAGTTCAAGTTCAGAAAGTGATGACTCAGAAATCATGGAAACTGCCCCGCCCCATCCTAAAGTCAAGACAAACCAATTTTCTGTTCAAGCCTCTGGTGAGTTTTCTTATATTTATTATATGTGGGTGTGAATTTTATTTTGTAATAGTAAATAAAGAAAACTTTATTTCTTGTCATATTTTTGTCTATTTGACCAATAATATATATATATATATATATATATATATATATCTTTTCCAGAGAAAAAAATTAAAATGAACATTTTTTTTCTTAAAGCAAAGGATGTTTCCACTTCCTTAGCAAAAGTCACCAATGGTGTAAAATACTGAGAATGTTACCTTCAGCATAAGTTTAGAAAATTAAAGAAATATTTTAACCTAATCATTGTTATGTATGATAATCAAACTGTATCAACAACACTTAATAAGTAAGGGAGGTTAGTCAGGCATTTAATCATTATTTCCCTTTGGCACCAGCTTTTCCTAAACTTGTGTGAGTGAACAAATGAGAATGAAACAAAACAAACAAAATTTTAATAAACGTTATTTTCTTCATTAAATTAGACATGTCATTCAGAAAGCCATACAACTTGCAGTTACTGCATGACAGCTCTACATAATGTTTCATAGGTTTAGTCCAAATAAGTTCAAGTCATTCACACATTAAAGATTGCAGTGACCTTGTTGAAAGATTAAAAGATATTAATATGAAAGATAAACTTGGGACTTATCTAGATATTAAATCCTTATACACTAAACCTACCTGTTGACAAATCTGCTAAAGAAATTCCTAGTAAAATCAAAAACTAAACTCTCATCACTGGTAGATAAAATTATGAAGATTTACTGACTTATTACAGACCAGTGTTATTTCTCTTTCAATAATAATTTTTTAGATATAAATTTGATTATTGATAGGTGGTGTTTTAGTATGTTTTTTTTTTTCTTAGAATTTCTAGAAGCTGATCCTATTTTTCCAAAATATTTTACCTAAACAATCAACGTATTTCCTGTATATCAGAATTGCATTGTTAATATATCCCTACAAAATAATATTAACTATATGAACTAAATAACATTGAACATACAATCAAACTTATTTATAAAACAGAAATGCACTACTTTATCTTTCTTTGGTATCATATTAAACTGTACTGATAAAGATCTAAAACTAAATGTCTATTAAAAATTCACAAACAAAAATCTGAATATGAAGAATGTGAACATTAGTTATGGTTCAATTCATTTTTGGGTATTCAGATTTGGGTATGAGATGTCTCAAGTTTGTGCCAAAAAAGCTTTCAGTTGACCAAAAAGAAAATCTGGTTTCGGCTGCACTTGATTGTGTTGAGGAAAACAAAAACTTTTTGAAAATGGTCACAACAGGTGATGAATCATGGGTCTGTTGCTATCACCCTGAAACCAAGGCTCATTTTTCACAGTGGATGATTACAACCTCTCCAAGAAAGCACAAACAAGTCAAAACAATATGAAGACGCTGTTGACAATTGTTTTGACTACAAGGGCATTGTTCATCATGATTATGTTCCAGTAAACATGTTCTACCATGTTGTGTTGCAGTGTTTATGGGATGCTGTTCATTGAAAAAGGACAGAATTGTATGTGTCTTGTGAGTGGAAACTCCACCATGAGAATATGCCTGCATATTTAGCACAGCTTGTGCAGCAGTTTTAGGCCAAGAATAACATTCCCCACATCCAACAATGTTCATATTCCCTAGATGTTGCCCGTTGTGATTTTTTTCTTCTTTCTAGAAATCAAATTCCACTTGAAAGATAGTGAGGAAATCCAAAAGAATGTAATGAGGCAGCTGCTGGCTATTACCAAAAAAATGTCCCAAGAATGCTTTAATCAATGGAAATGATGCTGGATAAAGTGTGTGGCTTTAGAAGGGGGACTATTTTGAAGGAGATTAAATGCCAAATTGATGTGTTAGCTTTTCTTTTTGTGGCACCAGTCTTGATACTTATTTTTTTTTGTTTTTATTAGAACTTGTATATAATATAATTTTTTGTACAGCTCTCAAATTTGTTATGCCTACTTATAGCACTTGGGGTAAAGTTTTAACATGAACATTTTTCCATATGTTGAAAGGGAACTCTACCCCCCCCAACCCCAATTGGTTTATTTTTCACAGTATCAATTATCATTTGCTACCATTTTGGAATCTTATCAAGAACGAATCTGTTTTTTGTTCTAATTGCTATTTATATGAGGGTAAATCAGAAAGTAAAACTGTTGAAATTACATAGTAAAAACAACAGGGAGGCACTACTGTTTGGGACCATGTGCACATATGAGATGACTGGCAGCTAGCCATGTGGAGTATTCCATCATTTAATTGAATGGCAGGGAGCAACGAGGTCAGACTTATGGACATTCCACTCAGGAATTGCACCATTGAGGAACCACATGTCAAAGTGCACTTTCTGTGGACAAAGGGAGTCAAACCTGCAGAAATCCATTGTTAGATGTTGGCTCTGTATGCAACACATACTATGATGAGTGGGTAGAACACTTTAAAGTGGGAAAAACAAATATAACAAACAAAAGCTGATCTGGTCACCTATCAATGTTGCTCACGGAAGTGTACATCCAGAGGGTGGATGCCTTGATTAGCGAAGACGGATGAATCATGTTAGAACCTGTAATGGCAACTGTGAGCATCAGCTATGGATTTGCCCAAGCAGCTTTCAGCTCAGCATAAACATCAGTGCATATATGTTGTTATCTAGTTCTTTCAACATTACTTGGACTGATTACTACATCTTCAGCTTCTTGAAGGGGATGTCACATGATTGAAGGTTCAGCTTGGATGGTGGGGCCCAGCAAGCAGAGCTGATATGGCTTCATAAGCAACCAAAAAACCTCTTTTCAGAAGTGATGAAGAACTCATTGAGTAATACCAGAAGTGCATCACTGTTGACAAGTGACATATGTATTGTTTTTCATCAGTGGATATAAAGATGTTGTACAGAAATTGCCTTTACTTTTTGATTTACACTTGTATATCCGTAATAATGACAATAACTGTTTTTTAAGTCATAACAAAGTTTGCAAAATAGAAATTTTCTTAGTGTTAAGATGTCATGAAGAATTTAATTATAGCTTTTTTTTTTTTTTTTTTTTTTTTTTTTTTTTTTTTGGTACAAAATTTGATGGGTGTAGAAAACAGGTATATTTAAAATGGTGTTAAAACCAGAGAAAATGTAGGAATTGACACTTAATACAACAACAACAAAAAAAAAAAAGTATATATACATATATATATATATTTCTTTCTTTTTCTGCATTAAATGTTAGTTTCTACTTTTTCTCTACTTTAAATATGTCCATTTTATACACTATCATCAAATTTAATTGTTTGAGTAAGCAGTAATTTCATCTAGGATAAAAGATATACGCTTATGTTTTACTTGTACTAATAAATTAATTGGTAGGCAGCCCTTAGTTACTTACCTAAGCATAATAATATATACAGGGCCCATAAGAAGTGTAGCATTTGGCCATTTTCATTTAGCAGCAAGAAAAATTAAGCAATGAATTGCATGAATATTCTATCAAAGTACCTACAAACAAATGATTATTCACAAAATGTCTAGGAATTTTCAGGACCACACATACTCAGTAGTTTTGTATGACATGACTCTGATGGAAACAACTCACAATTTCAATACTAAGGAACCATTTTACTGTCATTGTAACTAGCAGTGATCCATGTCTTTACCTCTTGCATGGCATAGACAGGTATTTTGGTAGCTTTTTTTTATATTCCAAATATCTTTCCTTACTTGTGCTAATCCTGCTTTTGGAAATCTTTGCTTGATGTCCAGTCACTTCATGTTTATACAATTTAAATTATAATAGTTATTTGAAAATGCTAATTATTATTACTAAACTTAATTATTAGTATAAACTCATCATCATCACTGGTATGTCTCTATGGCTGATTGAGAAGTGTGCAGAAAAGCCAAGGATTCTTCTTTGCTTATTCCTTTTATTAAAAAAAACTTAAGAAAATAACTCTGTAATTAGCAGTTAATAAACCCAGAGTTATTTCTCCCGAAAAGAACTTTTTTGTCATTTATACTTACTTAAAAATGACTTGGAAACTGATGTCATGAAAAGATTGAAAGTTTTTGTCAAATTAGACCATTTTAATGGCATAGTGATACAAAAATTGTGCTATGATATACTGTTTATAGTAACAAACACACAAATCCACAGAAATCAAATCATAATTCCGAGAATAAAGTGAAACATGATTTTCCTTTTATGGAATTCTTTCAATCAAGTAATCGATTATAACTGCAAATTGCTATGAATAAACAGAATAAGTGACACTTTAATAATATGTACCCAGATACCATTATTTAGCTTGCTCCACTAATTTATTTCTGAAATATTTTTTTGACTGTTTTTCATTTAGGTATCAAATAGATATAATTTTATTGCAAAGTTAATTATTTTGTTTAGTTTATACATTTAAATAGTGATGAGTTTAAAAATTATTAAAAGTGCAAAATTATTTTTGATGTCAAGTTTTTGGTATTTCTTTTTCGATTTTTTGTGAAAATCTTTAATTTAAAAAAGTGATGATCTTGTATAGTTTTGTGTGCACCCCAAATTTTTAGTTTGTATAGAAAGAGAAGGGGAATCTCTCTTTCCCCACCCACAGTTTTAGCTAAAGAATTGTAACAAATAAAAAAGAAATGATGAACCCATCTACAATAATACTTATACATGGGGATGTTCTCAAAAAAGCAAATAAAAAAAAAAAAAAAAAAAAAAAGAAATTACACTATATATATATATATATATATATATATATATATATATATATATATATATATATATATAAAGGGATTTAGTTTTATTTATTAATCTGACAGATTTATTCAGGCCAGTAGATGAACATAAATATACTGTTTAATAAATAAAGAGAGAATCTACTCAGATACAAGTATCCATTAAAAATAATATCTAAGTAATAAAAAAAATATATATAGAATTAATACAAATATGAATTTTGTCACTTAGCTAATTGGTGTTACCTTCAGCATCCCAAGTTACATA